TCAACACCTTGAATTCTGCCTCAGAAATGGATTGGCAGCCAGTGAAGCTGCCGTAGCAGGTGAGTAATATGATCCCTTTAGCAACCTGGTTACTCCATTTTGGACTTGCTGCAGTTTCTAAACACATTCCAGAGACAGCCCCACATAGTGCACATTATAATAATCAGTCTAGGATGTAAGTAAAGGCATGTGTCACCATGGCCAGTCCTCTCCAGGAACTGATGCAGCTGGCACACTAGTTCTAATTGTACCTGGGCATCCAAGGCTGAGAGACAAATTCAGGAGCACCTCCAAACTGCACACCTGTGTTTTTAGAGGGAGTGAAAACCCATCCAGTACAGGCTGCATCCCTCCTCCCTGAACTGCCTTTCAACTGACCAAGAGCACTTCTGGCTTCTCTGAATTAAATTTACGCTTCAGGAAAGATAGAGTTGGGTGTCATCCATGTACTGGTGACGCTGAACCCAAAACTCTGGATAACCTCTTCCAGCACTTTCCTATAGATGTTAAATAACATGGAAGACAAAACAGAACCCTGAGGGGCCCTGCAGGCCATTGGCCAGGGTGTCAAACAGGATTCTCCCAGCACCACCTTTTAAGTTCTCTCCTCCAGTAGGGACTGCAGCCATTATAAAACTGTGCCTCCAAGTCCCATCCCAGAGAGAAGGGCCAGAATGATACCATGGTCGGTGGTATCAAAAGGTCGCTGAAAGGTCCAGCAGAACCAACAGGGACACATTCTCCTTATCCATTTCCCAGCTTAGGTCATCCACCAAAGGTGACGAGAGCAGTCTCCATTCCATAACCAGGTCTGAATTCAGATTGAAATGGATCTAGATAATCTGTCTCATCCAGAAATCTCTGAAGCTGAGAAACTGTATGGAATATTAGAAACAGGTCAGTAATTATTCATATTGTGGAATACAAGGAGGGCTTTTTCAACAATGGTCTTGAGGGAGAGAGGGAAGGAGAAAATGGATGTCCCTCCTCTGGCTAAAACCACTACTGGTTTCAGTCCTCACTAATGCTAGCATACCAACCATTGGTATATGGCCCCTCAACAGACTATCCCTGAGGGAAAATATCCTTCAATATCATTAAAAAATGTGCACCCCTCTTCTGAGCCGAATGTGTTAATTAAATGAGGTTTTATATTACGCTTCCTAACAACAGAACAAATTGAAAATGTACCCGTTTCCCCTTGGAAATAAATTCCTATGATATACTAAGTACATTCTTGCCCATCTCTTCCTCCAGACGTATTTGTTTAGTAGGGAGGGTCAGACTTGAGCTGTCTGCCTGGAAGCTGGAATGATGACACAGCGTACTGTCTGGCACAGTCCTTTGCTGGGATCTGATAACAATAATAGCTAGCAAGGGTGAATCCAGTCTATTGAATACATTTTCTTACTAAAGGTTTTAGATGTCTGCTTTCTAGATATTCTTTCTTGTAGTTTAGGCTGGCCATGTACTTCTCTGTAACTTTTGTTATGAAGCCCCGCTGTTGTTCTGCTAATTTCCTTGTCAAAAGGTTTGTTGAAATTCTTAGGCGGTCCCGAAATTGGCATGGAAATTGAAGTAGACGTATCATTTAAGCCATCACTAACTTTATTCATGTTTAACAAAGGTGTGTCAGTGACAACTTCAGTGGGGATAAACGAGTCCCAATCGTTCAACTGACTATCAAAACACATAACATTATCAGAATTGATGTCCCTTCTCAATATTGGGGTGCTGGGCCAAAGCACTTCTTGTCGGTGGGCTTCCTCAACGGGGTGCTCCTTACCGTGCATATGGTGCCACAACATGGGTGGTGGGCCCAATCCCCCTCTGGGGGTGGCTTGTTGAAAGTGGGGTCTGGGCCTACCACCTTCTTCCAGGGACCTTATCCCCTAGGGTAAACTACCACGGCCCATTCAGACATCTCCTTAATGGTCACTCTTCCTCTTTCAGGTGATGGATCCGGTAACAAGCCCCCCACCTTCAGGTTTGGGAAGTCTCTTAATAGGTTGCTCACATGGTCACTCTTCTCCTCCTCCTCTTCTTTCTTACTGGTCTCGATATAGAAGTCCCATGCACCTGTTCCCACTATTATATCCTCCGCCCACGTTGATTATTTACTCCTATTTTCCTTTCCCTTCCTCAAAGAGACAGACATCTATCTTAACCCTTTCTTCATCTCCCTTTGTCTTTAACACCTCCCGTTCTCGTCCCTTCCCCTTTACATCCTTGTTTTCTGGAGGAGACGGCGCACTCTCGTCCTCCTAGCCTTCACAGGCCTATTTCCTGCAAATGTCATGGGCATCACTTTATTGATGACTGCCACATTGCACAGCCAGCTGGGATACACTGGTACTGATCAGCTTCCGTATTTAGAATCCTAATTCAGACCAATAAAATCATGATGATGAACCTGGATCAGAAACCACACAAGACTCAGAAACGGTTCATCAGTTTTGATTGAATTAGTAAGCTTCTCTGACTCAGTGACCTCATCGTTTTTGATAGGAACTAAAAACCTGCAAGAACTAGGAAGTTTGCTTTTTTTTTTTTTGAAAGAAAGGACAAAGTTTTGCATTAAACAAGAGTAGTAGGTATGTATCTTGTGCAACAGTTATCAGGAAATTGATACTGCAGTTCTTCAGATAAATTCATGCGATTAGGTACTTCATATATAATTGGTACATGGTAGGGATGGGAGTTCATTTCTCTTTGACTGCAATTGCCAGAATTCACCTGAAATTTCCCCAGATAGAATCCTGGAGCCGCAGTCCAAAAGCAGTAATTTAAAGAAAGGCTTTTCTCATCTCAGTCTGGTATTCCATTACCATTATATTGACCTTTCAGGAAGAAAGGAAATGTTCCTGGTGGTGTCTGGGTGTTGTACAAGCGTTTATGGAGTCTCAGGGGAGCATGGGATAGGTAGTCTCACTGCCTGTTAGGCTCTATAGAGGGAGCTTTAAAAAAAATCTACCCATCTAATGTTCCCTTGAAACTCCCATGAATTCTTGTAACTCTCCCAGGCACCACTGGAAGTGGTTTCCTTCCTGAAAGTCAATTTTAATGATGATGAAGGCTCTCATGGAGATGAGAAAATCTCCTATTTAAACTGTTGTTTTGGGGCAGCATCTCCCAGGATTCTGCCCCGGGGAAATTCCTGGTGAATTCTGGTAGCATAGTTGCAATAAAAAATAGACGTCTCATGCATAGTATAGGGTTAAGAGAGCTTATATTTGATTGGCAAATAGACTAGCATTCTAGCTTATGTAAGATATGCATTAATGATGCACAGTATAAATCAGTTCCTTTCTTGTTACCTCTAGCTATATCATCTGCAGAGGTGTTCCTGAAACTTGGAAGGTGCTCATTAGTAAGAAATGAATATTGTCTATTGGATGGATACTGTTATTACAAATGTATATGTAATTAAATTTGGGAGCATGTAGTATGTCAGTGTCGTAAAGGAAATAAACACTGGGAGTAAGATGTCAGAAGCATTTCAAGTTTAAGATAGCAGAGGTTTTCTATTTGCTTTTGTGGTCTCCCTTGACTGAGATGGACATGGTGTATTAAAACCTTAATCTCTAGAGATTGTTCTAAATTTTCGTAACTTTACAACATTCAACATGTAGTACATGTTACTGAAAACCAGACAGAACAGTTTGTACTATCACGGATATGGTGATGAAATGCTTTTCAAGGCCTTTGTGGTAGATGGTTTACTGTTAAGGTTTGCAAAATTTTGAAAATAGCTAGCTTGAGAAGAATCTTAGGCTGATCATTTATTTATGCTGCAGTTCAACAGTAGCCATGTTGTTTTCTCGTCAGAATCAAGTATGGCTCAGTGTGTGTAGGGATTTTGTTGTTATGTGTCATGAAATGTTCTTATGTTGGTATGATTTAAAAATATTTTTAAACAAATTAAATAAAAAACAAAACAATAAAGAATTGCTCTATTTTTAAAAATGACCCTGCTATAGTTGCTTTATTTGCTTGCTTACAAAAATCTTGCCTATTGCTTCACCAAGTTTGGATGCAACAAAACATGGTTGTGAACACATGTTCTGGCAGTGCTTCAGGCATAACCCTGAAATCTATTTATGCGTTGTACTATAGGACATCATGTGACATCACAGAAGCTAAGGAGCCATTCCAGCAAAACTGTGATGTGCTGCTCTGGCCAATCCTTGGCTGAGCATGATGATCAAAGTCATTATAGCACTTTGTTGGAAGGCATCCAGTCATGTTGAAACCCTGTGATGCAGCAACTTTTTAGAACTCTCTTCCCGAGATGTAGAGTAGGATTAAACACAGAAGTGATAAACAAGGTGGTGCCATTTAAATTGTCAAAGAAAGGGGGTTTAATATATTTTGAGACTTTTATTGCTTCTGATTCTCTCTTAGACAGTAGGGCGATCTCTTTACTTCTGTTTGGTTGTTTCTTATAGGAAGATTGGGGGACAGGGCTTTATCTGTGGTTTATTTAGTCTTAGCATCCCAACCAAGACCTTTTCCTCATTGCTCTTAATGGTCCAAAGTCCTGATCCAAGTAGGTCACAGCAAGAAGCCTTTGTCGTGATTTGTTTAGCCAGTCCCACTGGCTACCACACCTGCTTATTCTAAACTGTGCTAAATAGTAATGCCTTGGTCTAAATATTTCTGCCTATTTTTGATCCTTTGCTGGAAGAGGTGAGGATAGAACCTGCACACTCATCGTCATAAATATCTAGAGGAATAATTACTAAAAAAACTCTTGCTACTAGTGTGCGTAATTTATGACTATTGTGTTTTTTTGGGGGGGTTGGAGTTTTGGAATAGGTGGGGGGGTCTTGCAACTTTATTTTTTTTCTCCTTTATTGTCTTTGGAACGTATTTGAAAATGAGCAAGCGAGACTATGGTTATAAAATGCAATAGCTGTTTTCCTTGAAATAATTTTATGCCTATATGTTTTGGAGTGGATTGAGCAACCATAAAAATAATCATTTGGCTTTTTTGACAGTGTTTGGAAGAACTCAATGAAGATGTCTAGCAAAACATCTGGCACCACAAACAACATAGCTCAGGCCAGAAGAACTGTCCAGCAGTTGAGAATAGAAGCATCTATAGAAAGAATAAAGGTAAGAAAGGCTTGTTTTATTGTATTATGTGATCATTACTCAAAGCGAAGCATTTACATTTATCTAAAACTCCTGCTTTTAAAAAAAAGATATATTTCCAGGGTGATTCTTTCAGACATTCTTAGGTGCCTCTTTACAGCAAGACTAGGTAACCTGGAGTCCTCCAGATACGTTGGGATACATCCTCCATAATGCCTGGCTATCAACAGATTATTTCACACATTGGTTTAAGTCTAGTAGTCACAGTTAGAATGGGCCCGTAGAGTGCAAGTAGGAATTTCATGATTCAACTACTGTGTAAGTTCTGTTGATTCAATGGGACTACTCTAATTGTGACTAGTAGATTTCATCCACTGTTTTATTTAAACATTTTCCCTGTTTTTATAGTGCAAGATATACCATTGCACACGAGTCACCTTCTCTCCAGCTTTGCCCACGTGCTCATGAGAAACAAAATAGATTTTTGAAAAAGAAAAGAAATTAATGAAAAGATAAGGTTAAAATGAGCTAGGGTTCATGCATCTAATATGCAGCTTGGATACTTCACCCCCCAAAAAATCCCACTTTCAGAGGAAGACTTTCCTCAGGATTGTAGCAGGTTTACATTCTTCACCCATACCTACTGTGCTGTTACGTGCTGTCAAGATGGAACCAACTTATAATGGTCCTCACAGGATTTTCAATGTTAGTGAGATATTTAAGGAGTGGCTTTACCAGTTTCACTCCCCCCGGTGAGTTTCCATGGCCAAGTGGAAATTCAAACCCTGTTCTAGTCTTTCACTCTATCCACTACACACCACACTGGGCTATATTAATGTTTATAAGTACTCATCCAGACTTCCAGTGAAATGAATAATGAAATCATTATGTAAAACTCGTATTACTCATCCTGCTTACCTTTTTGGAAATGAATCTGGTATATTTACAAATCTGAAACCCCACTTCCCTCCCTTTCCCTCTTTCAGGTGTCCAAGGCATCTGCAGATCTAATGTGCTACTGCGAGGAACATGCCAGGAAGGATCCTTTACTAATGGGTATACCTGCTTCGGAAAACCCCTTCAAGGATAAAAAGACCTGTACTATCTTATAGGCAAGAAGTAAAGATGCCTTCAAGACACCCCCCCTCCTGCAAAACCAACCAAGAAGATTCATAGAGAAGTAACCTGAAGATCACCTGGTACCAGCTGCATAAAACAGCAGCTCATTCACATGCTGTGTCTAAATGAAGTTTTCTAAAAAGTTCCTTTTCTTTTTAGCATTCTAAGTGAGAATGCAAGTTTCTCAGGCTACTTCTTGTAAAACAGAATGGTTCTGAGAGTATAGTTGGGAATTGGATGCTGTTGGCATTTTTTGGGATTGTTGGGTTGGGTTGGGGTTTTATTTCAAAGTGCAATGCGTGTTCACAGTTCCAGGTGTTAGGTTGAACAATCAAGACCAAAGTTGCCTGAGCTTCATTTACAGAATAGTGAGGCAGACAAAAAACGTAGAGTTCTAATCAAGATCACTTATTTTGATTTTATATTAGTGTATATCCTTGTGTATGTAATTGGTGTCTGTATGTAGGGAGTGTATGTTTGTTTGTTTTAGGTGTATGCACACATTCCAAAGTGCTTTCTTTACGTGCGCCTTTCTGAGTTAATTGCTGCATTTATTGATAAACTTCTGCAGTTCATGCCTTTACCATCAAGTATGTCTTAAGCTTTTTACAGTGACTTAAGAGCCTGTAAACATAAACGTAGTACAAATTCTTGATCTCAGAATAATTTTGAAAGGTGGCCTTTGGCTTATACCCTTGGATTTCTACCTTTCTCATATTTCCTTTGAATCTTAGACTGTACTAAATGACACATAGATTCTAGAACTGAATTGTCTTTCATTCCCTTAGAACTTTCCAGAGTCTGTCCCTTCCCTTCCCTACACAGTTCCTACAAACCTGCTTTTTGGAAGCATGCAGGCTCTTCTTAACTTTGCCTGCTATGCTCACATTTTACAGATGCCAAACAATGTTTAAGAGGAACAAGAGACTCTTGGTGCAATCCATAATACTATTACTTCTGCCTAAAGCCAGGTTGTGCTGGGGCAGTGCTTGAAGGATTGGAAACAGTGGTCAACAGTTAATCTCTGAAACGTGTAAACTTTATTAAAATATTTGTGTTCATGTCAGGTATTAATGAAATACTGAATGAAAAGAACTAGTATTGACTTAAACCACTAGTATGTATCTATATTCCATTTATTACCAGTCCTTTAATGTTGCCGATGTTTTTTTCTCTAAATTGTGGTCTGTCATAGCTCTATAGTTACATTGCCTGGCGTTTATTCCCTGAGACGACATCTCGGATTGCTCCACATATGAGTTGCGGGATTGGTGACTAGATTTGTGGGGGAGACCTAGTGATACAAAATGCAAAGTCAGCCATTGGTGTTTCCACTCATAATGTCCAGAATGTTTTCAGGTAATTTAAAGCTCCCTTACTGAGAAAAGCTAAGTTTTCCCCTTTAAACAAATAGCAGTTGTGTCTGTATCGTGAGGGGTCAAACCAAGGCCAACCCAGAATATGTGGCTTCATTGCGACTTCACTGAGATGCTGGTTTGCAAGCCAACAAACCAAGGTTCCTGACCTGCTCACAGGCCCTCTGTAACCTGAAACCATAGGATCAAGCTCTTGTGGAGATCTGTCTTCATGTTATAGCATTAAGATTAAACAGGCACATCTGATTTTTATTTTTATTTGTTTATCTTTTCTTTGGGTCCAGTTTTATTTCCCTAATAGTGTTTCAAAAAACTAAACTATAAATTGCTCAGATGTAAGAAAAAACATAGTTTTAGTGGGGGTTTTTGACATCATCAGATTTTCTTTTTATAATTAGAATAATTTTCAAATGGCAGCTTTGGAAACAGCACATTAGAAACTCTCACACGGATTCTGCTTCCCCTATGTCAGTCTGTTCTCTCATAGTGTTAGTTCATTTGTTAAGGATACTGATTAATTTGATGGTAAATATTAATTTGATGGTAAATATCCTTATTCCAGCTGCTCTCCGGAGATATTTTTGTTCACGGACTAAAAAATGGAATATTTGGAACCAGGCAAGGAAGGGCTTTCCCTTCTGATAGTTTAAACGTTCCTATGAATGTTGCTTCCCGAAGACCATACTTAATGTGGTACTCTGAAACTGCTGATTTCCTTTGTGTTGTTTTAAGATACTGGGCAGCTGTTGATTATTATAAGATATAGAAACTTACTTTTCTGAAGGCTGATTCATAGAATCCTTACTACAGTACAGTACATTGTAACAGGAACACAGATTGATTTGCATTTTCTGTAGCTGTGTGTGCATTGATTCAGTCTTACCAGTTCAGTGTGCGTCCAGATAATAACTTGCCAAATACGAGAATCTGGGATTGTGCTGAATCCGGATGCGGTAACCAAATCAAGAAATCTATTGGTTAATGGTAGTTTAGCACACACTAATCACCAGACAGTTGTCTTCACCAGATTTTTAAAAGTGGTAAATTCACATAGCGATAAGTGTTGCTCTGCTGGGACCGCACAAAAAAAAAGCACAGAAGCCGTATCTAAATGAACACATCATGGGAGTATTGTACTCTTCTGGGATCAGAACTGGCTCTTGTCTCAATAAGTCTTTGAATGAGGTGAGCCTGTGTAGGCAAAGCAGCCAAGGGTGTTTCTTGTGCTTGCCCCAAAACAAGAAAAATCCCTAGTACCCAATTGCCTGAGAGTTTAAAAATAAGGTGCTGGGTTCTTTTTAAAAATCTGCATTTTTGCTCTTAAGATCCTTGCTCCTAAGGATCCTTTCTCTGCTTCGCCACCATGAAGCCATCAAAGCTTCTATTCACAGACCTGCTTTTTCAAGAATTAGAACTTTCTTGCTTTTAGAACTACCTTTCCTCATCAAATTAATGCTATTTTCTATAGTCTAGTTCTTGATGCAGTCATCTGTGTGGTACTTTCATATAAAAATGAATACGCTGTTTCAAGGACTGATCTTTAAAAAAAACACTGAATTAAAATATATAAACTTTTATGTGTAAGGCATTTAAATTGTTGCATACACTACATATCACCAGCAAATGCTGCTGTGTGTTCTTTAATGGATTACACATTCTAACACTCAATTGCCGTAAGCTGGGCATGTTGCTCCCTACCTTCTACTGCTGATTAGTAGATCATATCCTGAAACCTTGCAGTTAGTCTTCAGCTTAATGTCCTGGTGCAAGCAGAGCCGTCTTAAATAGGTTTCTTCAGATTACTGAAGAATAGGTAAAGCTTTGACATTGCATACCTATTGTTAAAGCCAGTCATCAGGGTATGGCAACTTGGGTAATAAGAATTGAAGGAAGGAAAGGAAGGTCCTTGGAGGTTGCACTGCCCAATATTGTTTCTGATGTCTGTTAATCTATCTCCCTCTCATTTCCTTTCCTGAGATGTCCTGAAGTAGAGGTGTGTGGCTTCTTACGTTTTTGGACAGTTCACTGCGTTCCCCAGATGTAGTGGTCACTGGCCATGCTTCCTGGAGAATTCTGGGAGAGATTGTCCAAACCCACAATTATGTGCACCTCTGCCCTGAAATATGGTTGGAGGTGTAAGGCTTTAGAGCTTGGGTCTTTTGTTTAATTTTTATTGATACACCAATGCTATCATGACCCCTAAGTGTCTTTTAAAAACATTCTTATGTGTTTTTCATGGTTATGTGTTCCAGCAGGACAAAATGAGTTAGATCCAAAGATGCCCTTACATATGGGGTAGAAGGTGTTTTCTGCTCATGGGACAATTGTTTGATGTCTCGTTGCTAAAGAGTTGCCCCCCAAATCCTGTACATTCTGTACATAATTCTGAACAGATTGCAAAGCTTCAGTCCTGAATGTATTTACTAGGAAGTAAGCACCATTGAAGATAGTAGGATCTGCTTCTGAGTAAACATGTATGGGATAGCAGGACATATCCAGACATTTTATTCTGGTTGTGGAAGAGGAAGCACAAGAACTGCTACAAAATTTGCCTGTTAGAAGACTCTGTTATGTATTCTGCTAGTGCTTGCAGAACAACACTAATAATTTTACTTCTGCTTAAGGTGCTTTGGATCCAAACTAATATTTTCACCAGCAGTGCTTTAGATTCTGATCACACATATGTACTTTACTAAGTGAAGGAGAGTATTGAAAATACCATGTTGTAAACTGCAGGGACTTAATTTTAATCAACTGAAAATTGTGCCAACTTTGCATTCAGAAATGCCTTTTGAGTTTTACTAGGCTGAGACCCTGGCCCTGTTTAGTTTCTGTTTTGACTTACATTATATCAATTGTCTATCATAGCACGTGCCAATTAACAGTTCCATCAACTGGAAATTCAACATCAAAATACTACTAGATGCTTTGGATCCTGTCCAGCAGATTGTTAGGTGACTGCTAAAGGCATTGCCACCTTTTTCCAGCCTTCCATAAAGTACTGTCCTTTAGAAGAATCAATATAGGCCTACATTCATTTTTGTATGTAAATCTGACCTTGTAGTGACAGTATAATCATCCAGGGAACCATAAAAAGTACTGCCTTTATACGCAGCCCTGTTTCCTGTTCTCTGTTTCACTGAGACTTAAATGGAAGTGATACAGCAGTGGTGCTTAGATGACAGCACCCAAGAGAACAGCCTTCCCAGTGATCTTGCACTCCAGGTCTATTGGACTACAACTCCCATGGCCACACAGCCAGCACAGAGAGGAGGCTGCAGTAGAATTTCATATGGAAAACTGAGTCATCCAAAATAATAACTGCTAGACCACTGTGAGGTTCTAAAATTAAGACTATGATATTTAACAAGAATTTTCAGCAACTGTATCACTATACCATGTCTTGGTGCTTTGATTAGAAATGCCTCAGAAGTAAAATAATATTCCCGAAGATGCTTTGTGTTCTTTAAAGAAATTATATCCTGCTTTCTTCTTACTATACGCACTTGTGCTCTGGGTTTTCTTTTAAATTGCTTTTGCAGTATCATTTTGTATTATCATTGTAATCTTAGGTCTGCAAGAATAATACGACTTGCATTTCCCAGCAGAAAAGAATATGTACATTTTAAAAATAATGCTAACTTGTTTTTGCGTTCACAAGCATTCTGTCTGTAATAAGATGGCATACATTGTGCATCAGCACATGCTATTATTTTTATTGAAAGCTGGCTTCTTCTAGCCGTGGGAGAGGTTTACACAAATGTAATTAAAATTCCTGTTCACAGCTAATTTAGTACCATAGATTTAAAAAAAAAATCACTTTAATTAAATATCACTTCTTTTGATACTGGTTTCTGCTCTTCATTGTAATATGGTTGACTGATGTATAAAAAAGAAGATTGTTATTCTTTCTTACATTGCTTTCATTGGGTTCAGTCACTGAAGTGTCAAATGTAAAAACATATCAAAGTTTGCATATTTATCATGGTGGTACCTGTATAATGGGCATTGTTGATCTAATGCCATTCCTTCTAGAAAGCCATTAAACACAGGCAGAAGCATGTGTGTTCCACATGCACTATATGCTGCTTAGTATGGCTCAGTAAGAAACTGACAACACATACCAAGATCCAGGTCTATAGAGCCTGTGTCCTGAGCACACTCCTGTACTGCAGTGAGTCCTGGACACTTTGTGCCCGGCAGGAGAGGAAGCTGAACACCTTCCATATGTGTTGCCTCCGACAGATTTTTGGTATCACCTGGCAGGACAGAGTTCCAAATAGAGTAGTCCTAGAACGAGCTGGAATTTTCAGCATGCATACATTACTGAAACAGCGACGTCTACGCTGGCTTGGGCACGTGAGAATGGCTGATGGTCGGATTCCAAAGGATATCCTACAGTATATGGAGAATTAGTGCAGGGAAATC